TTCGCCCACGGCCTTTGTCAAAACTGGAAAGAGTAGAGGAGTGGGACACATTCAAACCACTAGTCAACCCTCCTGAACCCAACTTGAATGTCAGGAACGATAAAAGTGTCAAATACAGGTAGCAATATTAGGATAGGGTAGATTTAGAAACTGTTGAGGTTTTCTTTGATTTAGACTGATACAAAGCTAAAAGTGGGCGTGGCGCCGACGCATGTAGCGAGAACATCATGGAATAGCTGCTGTACCACTTCTGCAATAACATAAAGTACATTCGGAAATTTGACTACTCAAATTTGACTCAAATGATCAAAACCTTCAGAAATATTTCAGTGACTTGGTTCTTAGAATTAGAATCGTCATGCATCTAGGTATTTTCCATTTTTTACGAGGTCTCAGTGCACGCTGAAATATTGTGTGGGCCACGTGGCACGTGGGCCAAGTGGTAAATGGGCGAAGTGGTTGTGGGTGAAATGGTATATGTAAGTGGGCGAAGTGACTGTAAAACACTAGATATACGTAGGCCTAGTTTCCACTGGTTATAATGACCACCAGCAGCATGCAAGATGTTACAATAAAGAGAGTTGCTGAAAAGACGGTACGTGATGTCATTCGTCAAAAAACACAAACAAAAAGCAAGCATCCTAAACATTGAAAATATTCGGATAAAATGCTTTGAACCTAAACTGGTACTTCACTTTGATTTATTTTATTTATGGTCAGCTGTTTAGTTGACAATTTGGGATTAATTTCTCTCTCGTGTGGAGAAAATTGGCCAAATACATGATACTTAAGCAAGCGAGACGATATTGTACAGTTTTGCCAGTGGTCTTATTTATACGGACCTACTTTTTCGACTGTGCAGACAGTCAGCAAAGTTGAACTTGATTCAGCTATGCCAACTCTGTGCGTCTGTGTTTGCATCAATGGCAACAGATCGTTTCCACATGATTTTGGTGATGCTGTCTGCATTTCTTTACGTTGATATGGAAACCAGGCTTTAAAGTTTGTCCACATGGCATACAAGACTGTGTCATCCTAACCTTATTTCACATCATGCAATACCTGAATTATTGACCTCAGTGCCACACTGTCAAAGTAGAAAGGTCTAATCCAAGGTGTGTCGAAAAAAGAATGCTCTAATCAGAAATATTCAGAAAAGTGGGGGACTGACGACTGTCAGAATGAATCAAATCTTTAAAGTTTGCATGTCCTTGTTTTGGTTTGCAGGAGATTGAGCTGGTTTTCAAGCCCCACCCCATGCATGAACATCCAGCCCTGAGACCAGACTCCAAGCGTTACTTGAAGACATCAGCTGTAGCAACAATCGACCACCTCAGCCAGTACCTCTCTTTGCGTGTTGGTCTGGACGGAGGAGGTATACAGTCTTGTGTTTTTCTTGGTGTGTTGTTTTTGGTTTTAGATTAAACATTTGTAACTCCTTTCCCTCAGTGTGATGTGATCCAAGTATTGATGACGACTCTGTGTGTAGGAGGTAACTCAGGATGACTTTTTTGACTCGGTATGTTTTTTAACCCCTCGGTGCCGGTACCGATAACCTTGGGTTTGTACGCATAGCCGGGGTGCCCAAAATCGGACAAAGGAGCTTGGCCTTGTAACAAAAGACTATACTCGGAACAAATGACCGAGCTGCTGGAAATTGCCAACATTTTTCAGCACACAGTTCTGGCATTAGTGGAGGTAATCCGTCATTGTTTCAAAACAGTATACCACTGTTTGCAGCATTCAGCGCCCGCAGATTATAAGCGGGGACAAAAGTGCTCCAGTACCCCAGCGATGAGCGATGCAGTACCGCTGCACGCTAATCTGGCCACATTTGAAAAGACACCATTGCCATTCAAAAACGCACTGGGCCAATTTCGGGAACAAAGGAAATTAGGCAACACCACACAATTGTGGGCTCTCTTTGCTGGGCGGCAGGCCTGGCTTCAGTGGAGGTTGCCAGTCAGATTAGAGTAGCCACCAGACAGTCATTTGTGTGGGTGTAAGTGTCTAGTAAATGAAGTTGTGAATGTTTGAAGAAGTTTGAAAATAGAAAAATTTGAAAATTGCCCGGAAACTCTTCCCGCATGTGCAAATTCCACCTGGCAGGAAGTGGT